TGTAAGGTGACCTGAAATGTAGCAGCAATGGAATCTTACTTTTTACTGGTTAGTGGGTCCTGCAAGAACAGTTTGATTGCATCTCTCTCGAGTAACATAAAGCGACCGGTCCATAATTAGAACTCTGCTCTCTGACAGCGTCTCAGGCAGAGCAGAGCCCGTGAGAGGGCAGCCTCCACTCCGCTGTGGCGTCTGACGGACGGGGGCAGGGTGTGTGGCTGCAGAGCCAGAAGGCCTGGACGCAGCAGGACTGGCCCCAGGCAGGCCTTCTGGCTGGTGTGAAGTCTCTGATTTGGAGGCTATCTAGAAAAGCGACCTGACTCTATTCCCCAAATCACCCAAAACAAATCAAGTGCAAAGGAATTTCCTTAGTACAATAAAGGATTTATATCTCAAACGTCTACCTCATGGTGAAGCACGGGTGCTGTTCCCATCAACATCACAGGCAAGTCAGAGATGCCTAATGGGACACTTGTGTTTGGACATGGTTCTGAAAGGTAAAGCCACTACTGTAAGAGAGGGGAAAAAGGGCAACTCATCCCAGCAAGGACACCAACCTGTTACCTATCATACTGGGAAATTATGTACTATTATGTAATATGTAATGTTTATACCTAAAATAAAGATACACAGATGTGTGTGTGTGTGTGTGTGTGTGTGTGTGTGTGTAACTGTTCATGAGCGCAGGGAAACAGCCCTCTGGGATGCTGTCAGAGGGAGAGAAACACACACTTTTCCCAGGAATCTGGCAACATATACTCAAAGCCATGAAAGCACACATACTCTTCAGTGTAAGAAGCTGGGGGGAAAGGAGAAGGGCACAGAGGTGTAAACAGAGGACACCGATCAGAGTTACTTGTAACATTAAAGATAATTCAAAGTGAATTTATTTGCCAAATGCCCATTTTGGGGATACTGTTAAATCAGTCAGGCCAACTCTGCACGATGAATGTCACCCATGAGAAACGGCGGGCAGACAGTGGGCTGGCAGCGCACACAGGGTGGCCCTGTGCTTGTGAGAGGAAAAAGCATGCGTGTAGAAACGTGGGGGAACACACCCCCCAAAATGCTACCCATCATGTTCTTTAAGTGGTGATTTGGGAGGGACTTTCATCTTCTTCAATATGCTTATTGCTAACTTCTTTTCAATAACTGTGCAGTTTAAGTTTAAGAGTATTTAAATTTCTTTTAAATTAAAAGCTTAATACAGTGATATAACCAAATGACCAGCTAACGCCATACATCACAATCTATACACTTACCTACATCAAGGCAGCTAAACGACATGCCAGATCTGTGGAATGTGCTATTAGGGAACTACCATTATCACCCCATCTTCAGAATTAAAGACTTTCTCAAAGAAATCGCCTTGGGTAGAAGGTCTGCTTCTTTCTCCGACAATAACATTAATTCTGCCTTTTAACCTGTCTTCTATAAATGACCAGTACAATGTATTTTATGAATGCAGAGAAAAAAGCTTCCCTTGCCCCATGAACTGATCTGTGTTTTTATCTGACAACAGTAACGGACTTAAGAATTGCATTAACTTATTGTTTTTGTCCTCAGCTGCTCAGAGCTGATTCCTGGGTTCCCATGTGATCGCTGTAACTCTAGGATTTCTGATAGATGCTATCTTCTCCTTTCTCTTTACCACTTGCTCCTCTTTACTCTCATTTAAAATTTTCCTTCATCTGGGCCTTTTATTGTATTTCTTTGCAGAATTAGAGACCCCTAGATCTACTGCTTGTGGGGGGAAGAGACAGAGACATGGTCCGATGGAGTGTTGGGGGTCTGATAGGTCTCACGCTGGAGCAGGAGAATCACTACTACTTCACCTTCCGAGGGGAGAGGCTGGGTGCCACGAGGACCCACTCCCACCCCCGTACACACACACAGTGTGTGTGCTCAGGTCTGCGCCTGGCGCCTGCTACCTACACCGCGGGGGCGATACTCACATGCAGACTTGGATGATAGGTCAGCACGCCATTGTCACACAGGGTGACGTATTTCTTTTTCCACTCTTTGTTCAATGATTTGCCACTTCGCTTTAGCAGCATGCCCTATGAGGGAAAAAAGAGCCAGATACACACTAATAAATATATATTATAAAGTCTTGTGTACATTTTAGGAAGGCACGTAAGTACTTTAAAAATTTTTGAACTTTCACTGTCCCTGTCATCTTGAAATGGAAATTATGCCTATTTTTTGTTTGGTAATGTTTCTTTCTTTTATATACAACACATATATTTAACAATTTCCTTTTTTGCATATGTGTGTAGAGCTTTTGTGATACTGAGTGCTAAAAGATGTGAGATCATACATAAAGGATACAGCTTTCTTATAACCACATTATAAGCACATATGGAACTCACAAAGTTATAATGCTTTTAAAATGGAAACCTCAACTGCCTTTTCTAAAAATAACATATTAACTCTATTCTTATGTTATTTGCAAATAAAAACATTTTACAGTTTTTTCATTTCAGATTCTCATTTTATTAAAAATGAAATTCCATTTGCAGACTTAGTAAGATCATTTAGTAGACGGACTGTGTATAAGTTACTTTAATCCAGAAATTGCATTAGGGCTTCTTGGAGACCAAACTTTAAAGCCAACACACTTTGAAGTGTGTTTACTCCAGGCTTCCGTGATGGTAGATGAGAACTTACTATAGTTTTAACTACCAATTCCAGCAAACATTCTGGAAAGACCCTGGGCCTCCCTGGGTGCCAGCACTGGGCTCCTGAGGCCCCAGACCCTGACTTTACGCTCTCCTTCCCGGTGGGGCGAAAGGCCTTCCGAGGTCTCTCTTTCAACAAGCAACTCCTGTTCACGTGAAACAAGGACAATGCTTCCTTGCTCTGCTCTTACGATCCATTTATAGACTCACATGATCATAATTATGACTGAGAAGGCCAAAGAATGCTCGTTATTCACCCAGACTGAGACAGAAGGAAAGCTGTAAATGTGAACCGGAACTCAACACCTTAAAGAAGCAGAGACGCCAGTCCCCCCGGGAACCCTCAGCAGCCCGCACCACACTCCTAACTCTGCCGGGCCTCAGGATCCACGCGGTGCGAGAAATTAAGCAAGTATTTTGATGCGATAGTTAAGCTCAAGTTTTGGTCAATTACCAATATTGGGACAACACTGTTTTTTACACCAAATCCCAGGTATATAATGGATTAGGAGCCAGCTTGGGACTCTGACCACTTTTTAAACATTTTTTCTGGAGGTAAACATGTCAATGTTTAAAGCAACTCACAAGTGAACCTTTGGAAGATTATTTCTTCACAAGTTCTTAACATTTAAAGAAAACACACAGCATAACTCAACATGCCTTGATTTCTTAGAATCTAAACCAATATACCCAAATATGGCACCGAGACAGAGTGGAGCAGGCCCAGAGGGAAGTGTGGCTTCCCAGGCAGTGCCAGGTTCACAGCACAGGGGGAACTAGTAGGTGAGTGGCAGTCATATTTGTGACACAATAGTAAATAAGCTATTGCTTAAAACCGTTAAATTTCCCTCCCCAGTGGATTTCTAAGATTTCTAGACTTGGCATGACAGACCTCAGGGAAGTCCTCCTGGGGGCTCACCGTCTCCCACCCTCCATTCCAGATGGAATTCCACCAGTAGCAGGGCGGGGGCCCTGCAGGGTCACTGACGGTGGAGAAGACCCCGGCCACGGCTCACAGCCCTGGGGTCCACGCAGATGGACAGACGCAGCCCACTCGGCTAGCCTGTGGGCCCTTCCATGAGCAAATCTGCACTCACAGTCCCCTTCTTCCCCGTGAGGCTGCAAGGACTTACTACCATTGTCCAACCAAAGTGACGTAAAGAGACGACATTGGGGAACAAAATCAGACTGCTTCATTTTGGTGTTAGGAAAACTTAATGTCTTGGTGAAGGAAAACCCAGATCCTGACAATCTTGAATTCTATGGTTCATCCTGGAAGGGACCTCTGACACCTGCCCACACGATGCAGTGACCAGCGGGACCTGAAGGGCACCCTGGTGTCCCAGGAGTCCTCTCTCTGCTGTCCGGCCTGGCCCCAGAAGGTTTCTGGGAGGCTAAGCCACTCAGCTGCCTTCCTCCCCACCTCGCAGCTGCACCCGAGTCATGTCGGTCTGCAAACCTTTAAAATAGCTCATCCAAAACAGTAGGAGAAATGAGCAAACTGGATACTGTTTCTTTATCACTGATGAAAGGGGCCCATCCTGAGAAACATGATGAGACGTGTGCTCTCTGATGATTTTTTGATCGGGATGAATTTTTGTAATCAGAGATTCAATCGGACTACAAATGAGGAGACTCCACAAACAGCTTCTGTGGGTTAAAAATGAGGTGTTTTTTTTTGCTTTCTTTTTTTTTTTTCTGCTGAAATTAATTCTGAACACTGATTTTTTAAGAGTGTTTGTACCAAGTGAGAATTAGAATTTCAGAAATCTAAAGAAACCCCAGGAGTTAAAGCATTCAGTCCTGAATCCTGCTTGGACTCCTCTTTGTGTGGTCCATGCCTGGGGTCACCCAGTCCCACCTGAGCATCCCTGGAGCCTGTGGTCCGGGAGGCTGGAGCTGCCGAAGCAGGGGTGCCTTACACTCCGAGGGTGGAGGGCTGGTTACTAACTCTGGAGCTGCACTGGGAGACTGCAGCCTCTCCCCAACATGTTCTTGCTTCCAAGGACCAAGGAGATCCACCACAAAGCCCCCTGAGATGTCTCACTGCAAGGCCACATACACGGGGCTCCTTCCTAGTGCCAGTCCGTCCTAAACAAAAGGTTCCAGTTGCTCCGGCACGATGGGACTCTCCTTCGAACACAGTCAGATCCCCAAAGTGCCTGAGGAAAAGCATGTATGCACGGTGTCCCTTTGGGCCGAATTTGTACCAATGCAACAAGGACCCTAACGTCCTGGCAGCCAGTCGCTGCATCAGGCTGAGCCCCTGGACTTCATTTATTCCCTGTGCTTCTGTCATCCTAAACGCTCACACTTACTACCTGGATGCCAGGAAAACGGAAGATGCTAAGAACAGTTCATTTTAAATTTCTAGCGGACATGATGTCCCGCTCTGACTAGCCAGAAGGTGACAGAGGCCGGAAGGCTCTCTGCCAGAGGTGCCGTGGACGGTAGCAGCCTCAGCCAGTGCCAATGGCCCTTGTGATTCTAGGTCTGTTTGAGTCCATGTAACTGGGGCAAAGCCGCATGAATGTCAACACTCATCCTTGCTCCATCTTTCAGATGCCACTTTTGTCCATGTAAAAATAATCTCTTGCTTAGGATTGTTTCTTGCTGACCAGCTGTCACAATGTAGACAGCAATTACAGGTTTATCTGACTCTCATGTGGCTTATGCAACTGTTTTTAAAATTTTTTATTTCAAAACAATATGAGGCACACTGTGAGCCAGGTGCTGCTCTAAGAGCCTTACAAGCATTAACCCAGAGAAATTCATGATACCCGATGGGAGTTACTATGACTGTCCCCATTTTACAGATGAGGCCACCGAGGTGCAGAGAGGTTATGTGACCAACCAGCACAGTGGCTAGTCCCCAAAGACAGCTCCAACGTGCCCTACTTGTCAGTATTCATACCCATGTGTGAACCACCCCAAGCTGACGCAGGGTGCCTGGGACTCACTGTAACCTTACAGGATCAACGCGAGTGACACTATCTACCCTGGGCTTAAATCTTAAGAAATCTTGGCAGCTTCTGCTCTGGGAGGCCTGGCAGAGAAGCCATGCTGTGCTCAGTAGTTCTGAACCACTGAATAATGAGAAATAATGACTTTTCTCAAATCACTAAGTTTTGGGAGTAGATTCTTATGTAACAATAGGTAAGAAAAACAATTTGCATCCGGGGCTGCTGTAACAAAAATCAAAACTGTGTGGCACTGGCTTGAGGCCAGGAAGTAGCTGAGGCTGGCGGGACGGGGAGGAAAACCCCCCGAGGTGGAAGGAAGGAGGCCCAGCAGTGTCCTGGTGGAAGGCCAGCAGACCCACTGCCTGTAGAACACGCGGTGTGGTGAGGGCACCCACGCAGGGACCTGGCTACGGAGGCTGCTGAGCAGAGAGCTCTGGCTCTGACTAAGCCAGGAGAAGTAAGGAGCTCAAGGCAGTCTTCAAGAAGAATGAGAAAATATTTCCAATGTAAAAACCTTGCTCGACTACAACATGAGAAAAATGGTTTCTCATTCCCAGCTTCTCCTACTAGTAGGAAACTCAGAGTAAGGGCCTCATAATGAACATCAAATCCAGGGGACGCCAGCAGACAGGATCTCAGAATGAACACTGGGAGTGTGGCCTTATCTTGAGAACTCAAAGATTTGAGGCAGGGCCTCTTAGAGCCTAACAGTTAGAGAAGATGTGTGCATCAGAGCTAGGGATCTGTGGTCTGGCTTCTGCGTAATGAATGGGTTATGATTTGACACAAAGGACAGCCACAAGGTTTCTAAAGGAATTATACCATAACTCCATATAAATGGAAAAAAATTCAAAATGAAAAGGGCCTCTGGATGGTCACCCTAAGCACAGCAGGAAACAGGCGGGGGATGCAGGCCAGTTCTTGTGGATCAGGAAGGTTCACTCAGACAGCAAAGCCCAGGGCCAAGGAGGATGCCGCCAGGGAGCAGAACTGCACGCCGTGTGCCGAGGGCGGGTGCATTAGCAGCATGCGCCTGGCAGGGCTCACAGCTGGCCCGCACCAGTGCCTGTGCCGGACTGTCTGTCCCTCCCCTCCGCCCTGGAATGAGGGTGTCTGCTGTGGACACCTGACCCCTGACCTGACTCAGCACTGGGTGTGTTTGCATGTGTAAGATACCTTGCCTTGAGTACCCTGGTCTTTCAGACGTGAAGGATCATATCCGAGGCCCCTCATCCACCAGGGCACCTGACGTAGGTGACAATCCTGCACTGAGCCAGATTCCATGATGGGATGGGGTGAGGGTACTTTGCATGTGGGAGAGCAGATTGAAGTAGCTAATCTCCAAAGGTGACCCTCAAAAGCCAGCTCTCTGTGTGGCCCCCGGGCACTCTGACTCAATTTAACCAAGAATGTGGT